ATATATATATATATATATATATACACACACATATAATTTATATATTACATATCATATTGTATTTTGTATAATTTATACATCAATATATATTTTATATATAATTTAAATATGTTATTTATATAACATATAAATAATATATATATAATATTTGGAAGTCATGGATAAGTGGGTGGTATTTAAAACCATGGGATTGGCTTAGATAATTGAGGGAGAAAATATAGATAAAGAAGAGCAGTGGGAGTAATCCCTGGGGCACTCCTGTCTATTTTTGAGCACAAGTTGAGAAGAAGAGGGCTCCATGTAGGCTCTAGCTAGTCTTAGAGAACCAGGTGCTGCAAGAACCTAGATCTGGGCTCAGAAAAGGAGGCAAAGCTACCTCTTTTTTTTTTTTATTTATTTGAGAGAGAGAGCACATGAGAGGGGAAAGGGTCAGAGGAAGAAGCAGACTCCCCGCCGAGCAGGGAGCCCGATGCAGGACTCGATTCCGGGACTCCAGGATCATGACCGGAGCCGAAGGCAGTCGCTTAACCAACTGAGCCACCCAGGCGCCCGCAAAGCTGCCTCTTAAAAGCCCCATTGTACCTCTGGTTTTAGCAGGTCATATTGGGTCTGGCTGGAAGAGGTGTCTATCCTGCCCTCTAATTTATGTCTATACCTAGAAGGCTGGGATCGACGGAAGCATGGTAGTACCAAGGAGAAATCCCTAGTTATTTGAAAGAGTTCAACACTTTTTATACTTAGAAACACATTATCATATAAATGTAATTAGTAAAATGTATAATTAGTGAAATGTGTATTTAAGGAAAGAGGAGGTATTTCATTATACAAAAGCTTTGAGTATATTTTGTCTTCCCATAAATTAATGATGCTAAGTGTATATTTTAATTCTTTCATATTTTATGTATTATATATGTATTATATAACAATAACTATTTGATTAATTGATCATGTAAGGTTTAAGAAGTGGTCCAAAAAACAAATGTGAAAAATTATGTGATTTTATATATCATATATATGTATATATACATATATATGTGATTTTATATATATGTGATATACATAAAACTTTATATTTTTGTGTATATAATATATATGTGTGACATGTGATTTTATATATGTGTATATATATGATATATAAAATCACACATTTCATTTTATATATATTTATATATATATAATTTTTTGGTTCAAGTAAGAAATATCCAAATGTTTTCACTTGAAGTCACTCTTGGTATACAATCTCTAAATGGTATACAATCTCTAAATTGATTTTTTGCAAAATCAATTTTAGACATAGGATATAATATAACTTAAGAAAGTCCTGTGTTTCTTTTTTTCAGTTGGTCACTGGAGCCAGAACTCTTGGGCAGGATTCCAAATAATAATGAAAATGTTGAATGTCACTTGTCTTGTCTTGCACAGAAATTCTCTTAGAAGTCCATGGTTTGCTAGTTATTTGGAAATCTATCACCTCTTTCTTCTAGAAAATATTCCGGTTTTTTTGTGTGTTGCCCTTTGCCATACTCAAACATTTGGGAAATGGAAATAAGGAAGCAGTAGTTTCTTAGAAAAACTATAGATGAATGGAACAGGAACTGCAAAATTGGCAAAATGTAACAGGAACTGTTGATCTGGTACATTATTGCTTTTGCTTATTTTTTTCTCCTTTGCTAGGAGACCTGTTATGATGATGTGTGTTATACTCACCACACTTCCCAGCTTCAGCTTTTCTATCGCAGTGACCGAGGTATGGAATTTTTATTTCTTTTGATGCAAGATTTTGAGATTTTAAAATTTCCTCTGTTACTGGAATTTGATAGAACAGTGTGCCCGAAAATTTTCTTAAATTTATTTTATCCAATCTTTTTCCAAGTTATAATGTATATATTTAAAGTACTAAGATCATTGTTACCTCTGCAATTGTGAAGGAAGGTCTATCAGCCAATTAAAAAAAATACCTTCTGTGTTTGGTGTGAGAGGCAGGAATGTTAATTTCAAAATAATAAAAAAGCAAGGAATTTGAAAGTAGACCCACATTTGTTTCTTTTAACTAGATGTCTTTTGAGTGTCCTCAGTCCTGAACAATATCCAAAGGGACAACCACTCATTCTAAGACCTTTGATAATATATCCATTGGCAAAGCATTTGCACATGATATTTATTTGAAAATAAACTTCACTTTATGTTTTGACTTAATGAAGCTTCAAAAGGACTCTGATAGATGGGCATCTACAGGACAGGAATATTATAGGCAGAACTTTGAGGTTGTGAGAATTTTATTGTCTAAAAAAGGTTCAAAGAAAGAATGCCCTATTAACCTTATTAATTTGCATGATGCTGTGAAAGATAATTTTCACTTCCCCAGAGTGAGTGACCTAAATTATTTTATATTTCATAGATGAAATATGTTGAATAGATACTTATTAAGTGCATATTACATGCCAGGCACTGTGTTAGGTACTAGGATAAAACACTCAGGAAATTTGATGGAGTCTCTGGCTTTCAGTAATTATTTATCAACAGTAGAGAGAAAAATAAAAAGGCAATCAGAATAGTTATGTTAGGCTTAGTGAAAGAAGTGAGTACTGGGTAGTGTATGATATCATTAGAAATACATGGTTGTTGGAATATGTCCTAGATGCTACATTAGGACAATATATGAATGTGTTAGAATAACCCCAGAAGGCTCCACAGATGTACTTTCCATCAAACAACAATATGTGAATATTTTTATCTAGATTTATCTTTTACTCTTCCCTCCTCCCCAAAGACTTTGTAAAGCACTTAGGAGGTCCCCAAGACCTTTAAAAATTCAGTTTACAACCTGTTAAGGAACCCTATTATCATAAAGTGATGGTGTATTTGTAGTTTGATTGACCTTTTGGGGGCAAAAAGAACCTTTTTGGTTCTTTTCTATTATGTCCTTATCCACGGTTGCACATTTTTTCCTTCTTTCATTTAATTTTTCACTCAAGTATAACACATTAACAGAAATGTGTACAAAACACAAGATACACAATATTAATGAAATAGCACAGAGCAAAACCCTGTGTAAACACTACTGAGGTCAAAAAATAACTTTGCCAGCTCCCTAAAAGCCACCCCCATGTTTTTTTGCAATGACAACATTTCCCTCCTCCTCAAAGGTAACTTCTATCTTAACTTCTAATGCCATAGATTGGTTTGTCTGGTTTTGAATCTTTCATAAAAGGAAATACAATTATGTATATATAATCTATCTATCTATCTTCTATTTATCTACCTAATCTATGTCTGGCTTCTTTTATTCAAAAGTGTGATTCATTCAGGTTTTTGTGTACAACTGTACTCCATTCATTTTCCTTCTGTAGAGTATTTCATATTATGAATATATTACAGTTTACATTTCTGCTTTTGATGCCCACCTTCAGTTGTGTCTGGTTTTGCTTATTACAAATAATGCTGCTGTGAACATCTTTGAATGTGTCTATTGATGCACATAGGCAAGAATTTCAGTTGGTTAAGTATGCAGGAGTATAATCGAGGGGTCATAAGATATTCAAATGTTCAACTGTAGCAGAAGATGCCAGTTTTCCAAAGAGATTCTACTAATTTAGACTTAACACTGGCAGAGAATGAGCATACCTATTGCTCCACATCCTCGCTAGCCTTACCTTGTAAGTCTTTTAGCCATTCTGATGGGTATATTCTTGAATCTCATTGTAGTTTCACATTGCATTTCACCAATAATTAATGAAATTTGGTGTTTTCTCATCTTGCCAATTTTTTCCTATTGTGTTATTTATCTTTTTGGAATTGATTCAGAAGTTATTTATATATTCAGATTTCAAGCCCTTTGTTGATTATATGTATTGCAAATATATTCACACTTTGTGACTTAATACTTTTCATGCCATTTTTGGATGAAGAGTTCTTAATTTAAAAACAGTGCAGTTTATCAGTTTCCTTTTTTCATGGATAATAATTTTGGTAACTTGAAAAGATTTTGTCATACTGTGAATCTGAACTTCAAAGACCTGTGGATATCCTCCTATATTATATTTTGGAGCCTGTATTATTTTACATCCTCTTCTAGATTCACAATCCATTTGAAACTAATTTTTGTATATGTTGTGCAGTGGGGAGTCTGTTTTTCCCCCCAATTAATGTCTAATGGACGGAGCACTATTTATTAAAAAGTCTGTCTTTCCATATTTCTCTGTGGTGCTACTTTTGTTATAAATCAGGCGTGTATATATACGCATCTGTTTCAAGCCTTGTTTTGTCCACTGCCTACTTTTATATACCTTTGCCAACATCACATTGATTTAATTCTTCTAGCTGTATAATAGCTCTTTATATCCAAAAGAGTAAATCTTTATATCTTTTTCATCTAAATGTCTTGCCCTTTGTATTTCTATATGGGTTTTCGAGTCCACTTGTCATTCTCCACAAAAACTTTGAATTTTGATAGAGGTTGCATTGAATGGTATCATTTTTTAAAATTGCATTTTCCCTTTATTGGTATTTAGAAATAATTTATTTTGGGGAGATTTTCTCCATGTACAATTATGCAGTCTATGGAAATATATATATATATGTGGATAATATATATATAACAGTGTTTCTTTCTTTCTCTTCCCTCATTATACTGGCTAGGACCTCTAGTATGATGTTGAATAGAATTGGTCATGGTGGCAGCTTTGTCTTCTTCCTGATCTCAGAGGAAAAACGCAACATATCACTACTAATATGATGCTTGCCATAGGTTTTTTTGTAGATACCTTAATCAGACGAAGGAAGTATCCCAAAACCTGCCTGGGTTTACCGGGGCTCTCCCTTCTCCCTGAACTCCATCCAATATCTGTCCCCCTCATTCTCTGACCTAAGGACTCCCAAAGGCTCTGCTTAGCAGTACAGTTGGAAGACATTGCACATCCCACCATTACCAGGAGCCTGCCATTGTATTTTTGCGTGTATTTACCAAGCTCTATCTTGAACTGAAAGCTCTTCCACGGATAGGAATCTTTGTTACATCTTTACAAATTGTTCAAAAGCTTATGGGGTTGAACACCTGAAAAGCTGGAAATCAAACTTCTAGTCTTTTAGCAAATGTCTTTATAATTAATTTAGTGCTACTTTCAGACTCTTAAAAGAATTTTAAACAAAGAAAGCACAAAAATGTAATCCTTCCAAATGGTTTTCTGAAAACAGGTTCAAAAAAATATTAATGGTCCTGTGGATATCTTACCTGAGAAGTTACCTGACCTGCCAGTTTCTCTGGTTCTGACTTCCTTGATTGTGGTTGATATTATTGAAAAACTCAGGATATATCCTCTTAGAGGGCAGCTAAAGAGTAAGTATTCTTTTAAATATAAATATTTTTAGAAGTTTGACAGATGTTCACCTTTCTGTCACCCTGTTACCTGTTGACATGTTTAATGATACCTTTTCTGACAGCTAACATTATAGTTAGAAGATCAGAAATGAAGATATCTAAATATAGTTATTTTAAAACCTACTTTGGTAGGCAGTTATTCTTATTTGTATTTTAGTAGTACTGATAAATGAATAAACTTACCAAATATTTAATACCAAAAACTTTAATGTTTACTCTAACAAGAAAATTATCTAAGTAAATTATTATAGATTTATATTTTTTAGGAACTCTTTTAAAACCTTAAGTTTAGATAAATAGTTTAGGTTTAGATACCTTTGATACAGAAATTAATGTGACTACTGCAGTTATGTCTTAGAGAATTATGTGTTTTTAATTGTGGATTGTCAAAAAGCTAACAATCACACTAACAAAACCAAGACATGCCACAAATACTCTTCCAAAGCGATCATTCAAAACTAAATTTAGGTTGGCCTTAAAAAAAAAAAAAAAAAAAAGGAAAAAGGTATTATGCTAATTGAATATTATGTTTGGTCTTAAATTTTCTCAACTGTCACTTAATTTCATGTGATAGTATCTGTGTTTAATTTATAGTAAGTGTACGCGATAGTTCTTGTATGACTTAGATCTTATATTTGAAATGGGTAGGTTTTGTCTACTCACTTCCTGGTGGAGTGGAGGGGTTAGATTGAGTGAGTCACTGGGGAATGCTTTACAGGAATAGGGATGACTACTACAGCCAGGAAGGAGAAGACTAGGATGACTACGACAGCCAGGAAGGAGAAGACTAGGATGACTACTACAGCCGGGAAGGAGAAGACTAGGGTGACTACGACAGCCAGGAAGGAGAAGACTAGGATGACTACTACAGCCGGGAAGGAGAAGACTAGGATGACTACTACAGCCAGGAAGGAGAAGACTAGGATGACTACTACAGCCAGGAAGGAGAAGACTAGGATGACTACGACAGCCAGGAAGGAGAAGACTAGGATGACTACTACAGCCGGGAAGGAGAAGACTAGGATGACTACTAGAGCCAGGAAGGAGAAGACTAGGATGACTACTAGAGCCAGAAAGGAGAAGACTAGGATGACTACTACAGCCAGGAAGGAGAAGACTAGGGTGACTACGACAGCCGGGAAGGAGAAGACTAGGGTGACTGCTACAGCCGGGAAGGAGAAGACTAGGATGACTACGACAGCCAGGAAGGAGAAGACTAGGGTGACTACGACAGCCAGGAAGGAGAAGACTAGGATGACTACGACAGCCGGGAAGGAGAAGACTAGGATGACTACTAGAGCCAGGAAGGAGAAGACTAGGGTGACTACTACAGCCAGGAAGGAGAAGACTAGGGTGACTACTAGAGCCAGGAAGGAGAAGACTAGGGTGACTACTAGAGCCAGGAAGGAGAAGACTAGAGAATCCTGTATGGATCATGAGCCACCAGCCTTCCAGTCACTCATACTCCACAAATTTGAAAAATAAAACCGAGTTGGGAGGCCGCCAGGAAATCTGAGACTCTGAGTTTCAAGTTTTGCACTCCGTCCTCAGGTAGGAAAGGACGGTTGTTATGTTTCACATAACCCAGGGTATGAGGTAGGTGAGATGGTAGCTGGTGGCCATCTTTTGAGGACAGGGTATCCTCCAGTTACATCTGCCCTCCAGAGCCAAGTGTGTTTGTCTCAGACTGCGGAGATTTGGGGATTGTCACATCCTTTGCCCCTTCTCTAGACTCTTCCTCGATGCAAACCTGTTTTGAAATTCGATTGTTTTTGATAATGCTGTACCTTCCCTGTAAATGTGGACATTCTGTTTAAGTTCTTAGTGAAAATTCTCTTTCTAAAAAATATACGTGTATATTTTTGGGAAAAAGTTATTGGCATCTTATATTTTAAGTGATGAGTTGGATTGTCAAAGGGGCATTTTCCCCGTATCCAGCAATGATGATGACACTGAGAATTGAAGTAAGAAAACCCCAAAGAAGTCAGTCTTGGAGATAAGACTTGAGAACATCTTCCACAACTGCTTTTGCTTATTTGAAAAGCCTTCCTCTTGAGCTTCTCTGCCCAAACTTGGGAGGGTTAATATCTGGTTTAATAGCTCTACCATTTAATTAAATCATGCTTTAAAAAAAACTAGCATTTACTCAAAATACCTTTGCAAATATTAATTTATGTCAACTTAACTTTTTGCAAGCTTTTGAATATGCATACTAACAAAATAGATTATGTGAATTTTGAATGTATGGGATATTCTCATTCTCTGGAATTTAATACATAAATTCATAAACATATAAGTTATAGTACATAAATCTGAACATAAGCCAGTATGCTAAAAATATGCTGCTGTCACTGCATGTGATACTTCAGAATCCAAGAAGTAGAATAGGAGTGGGTGGTGACTAAGCTTTAGAAACATTTGGCTCCGTTTAGAAAATGTTGGGAAATGGAATATATTCTGTTCTGTGCTCTATCCAGAGAGTTTGAAATGCCTACCTATCTATCAGCTTGTAGCTGTTATGACCTTCTACTTGATGAAACTAAGGTCATCTACAACGCTTAGATTTCTGGACACTCTCGTGCCATCTCAACCATCCCAATTCTAAGCTAGAAAAGCTTGATCTTTGTGTAGCAACTCCTTTTCTATAATTTTAAATAAAAGTTATTCTATATAAAAAATATGCTTATGCTTAAAGCAATCCTCACTGGATCAAGGAGTCCATTCTGCTAACTTTCCATTACCGGTTGAAACATCTCAGTATTAAGAGATTACCATGTCATAACATCAAAGCGCATCATTTCACATAGCCTGAGCCTCACAAGGGAATATTTTCTGATACACAGATCCCTGAGGCACAGCTGCCTCACAGATGTATGTCGTACCTAGTAATGTCACGTCCCAGCCATGGGAACAAATAATAGGAATACAATATATAGCCTGAATGTCCCCAGCTCTTACTAATATGTGGGTACTGATGAGCACACTTTGATATTTCTGTTTGAATTTTGCTAGCTCAGTCCCAACCAATGAATGACTGGACCTCCATCCTCTTCCTCTTCCATATTGTTCCCTCTCCCATTTTTTTTTAAGCCAAACCCAAGGTGAGTCTCCTGTGGTCTCATTTGTTGGTCCAGACTGCTAAGTATTCCATTGCTCCTGCTTTTTTTTCAGTCATCATTCTCATGCACAAACAACCTGGCATGCTATTTGTCCACCACTTGGAGTGACTCTGCTCTAAATGCATGTACTGCTGTTACTTGCCCCTGGGATATTGTTTGATGTTCTGTTGGTGCTTTAGACTGATAGCCTTTCTTCTGACAGTTGAAATACTGACTTCCCTCCACAGAGATCTACTTGTTTAGAGAGCTCCCAAACAGAACAATATATTTTCTTTTGGGAACACAAGCCTTTTATGACCAGAATGTATATGTACCAACAGATTGACTGGGATTCAACAAGTTCAAGTAATGGCCATCCCACTCCACTGGAAATCACCATTTCCCCTCCTATCACTAGATCTTGTGCCTGATTCTGGTAGAGCTAGACTCCTTCTTTTGAGGTAGTTTTGTTTTTATTTTTCCCCCATGGGATCTCAGAGTTTCTCCTTACCTATATTGTCTGAGCCCCAAATCATGGTCACCATTAGACTCCTCTTAGCCCCCACATAGATTCCTTAACCTTCATAAAAGCCAGTAATGCAAACAGACCCACAAAGAAGTCCATGGTTAGGATGCAGATTTTCAGTTCTACCTACAAGGACTTACTTGAATAGCATAAGCCTAGCTCAGGCACCACATTACAAGTGGTTATAATAGAGTATAATAGTTAAAGTACTATGGGGCGACAAGTGAAGGAATACTTCATTTAATCTAGGGTGTTGGAGGTCAGAAAAATCTAAAGAGAATATCTGGGATTTGTAGGAGTTTAGGCAGGTATGGTAAAGAAAGCTTTCTACATGGAAGGAAGATTGGGCCTCATGAAATCCAGGTATACATGTAATAAATGCGCAAAAATAACCAGTTGGATTTCATACTCTAAATGGAGAAACCTATTGCCGGAATGGACGTTGCCTTATTAAAACCATTTATTTGTTTCTCAACTAGTGAATTTGGAAACCTACAAAGTTGCTTTGTAAGGGTGTGTGGGCAGAAAGGGGAGGCTTAATTGGAGTCACTGGTTGCCCCAATTCCTACTTGAACCAAATCAATACAACATTTGTCTGGTTAGGAGTTGATATTTTATGTAAGATTTCATTTGAAAAAAAAAAAAAAGAATGGTTCTTCTGCTAACTGTTTAGAAACCATTAACCCAGGACCTCATTTAGATTCATAGACTGTGGCTTTCTCTAAGGCAGTACCATAACTCAGGTGGCCAATTCTCTACCTCTCCAGCCCATGGCTTCCTGGGAATCTTGACACTGCACCACCAAAGGACAAAGTGTGCCCTCATCCAAGGTGTTGTGACTTCCGTTGCTCTGGGATGTGATACAATACAACAATACAACACACTAAAATGCACTACAATACAGCATTGCAGGTAGACTGGGCTCATCAGGGTAGAGCACACACAGGTTTTGAGGCTCAACATATAAAAATCAGATACAATTTTTAACATTCCATTTTGAACTATTTTATTTCTAATGTTTTGTTTTCCCAAAATAATGCATATTCATTTAAAAAGATTGTCAAATAAACATAAGCAAAAAAGAAGAAAATGGAAATCAACCATGATCCTGTAGACTAGAGATTTAGAACTGATAACATCTTCATGGACATACTTCACTTAAGGAAACCCATTTTGTATCTTTTTTCCTAACCATATGTGGTGGGTATCATTCTTATTATTGTATCTTCTTCAGTACATGGTTTTTATTGGTTGAATAATATTCCATTATATTAACAAACCCTAACTTATTTAACCATGATTCATTAACTAACTGCTGTTGTTGGACAACTAGA